AGACCACTGGACAACGAGGAGATCCAAAGAAGAAATTAAAAAATTCTTTGAATGAAACGAAGGAGGACACCAATTATCCTAAATGGATCTGCATGCAGCAAAAGCAGTAATAAGAGGAAAATATATAGCAATAGAAGCTCACATCAAAAAACAGAAAGAACTCAAAGAGAAACAACCTAATCTCGAAAGCTCAAAAGATCTAGAAAAAGAACAACAAAAAAAAACCCAGAACCAGTAGAAGAAAAAGAAATAATAAAAACCAAAGCAGAAAAAATGAAATTGAAACTAAAAAAAAAACAATCCAAAAGATCAATGAAACCAAGAGCTGGTTCTTTTTGAAAAAATAAATAAAATAGACAAACCCCTAGCCAGGCTCACAAAGGAAAAAGGGAGAAAGCACAAATACACAGAATCATAAATGAAAGAGAGAGGAAATCACAACGGACACAGCAAAAATCAAAAGAATAATCAGTAACTACTATGAACAGTTATATGGAAACAACAACAATCTAGAGGAGATGGACAAATTCCTACAACCTACAATCAACCCAAAGCTAGATAAAGAAGAAATAGAACACCTAAACAGACCAATTACAAGCAGCGAAATTGAAATGGTAATTAAAACCTCCCCAAAAACAAAAGCCCAGGACCTGATGGATTTACAAATGAATTCTACCAAACATTCAGAGACGAATTAGTGCCTATCCTTCACAAACTCTTCCAAAAATTGAAAGGAAGGGACAATACCAAACACGTTCTATGAAGCCAATATTACACTAATACCAAAACCGAATAAGGACAACACAAAAAAGGAAAACTATAGGCCAATCTCCCTAATGAACACTGATGCAAAAATCCTCAATAAAATTTTAGCTATCAGAATCCAACAATGTATCCATAAGATAATTCACCACGACCAAGTTGGATTCATTCCAGGGCACAAGGATGGTTAACATCCGAAAATCAACAACGTATCCAACACTCAACAAAAAAGAAATATAAAAACCATATGATAATATCAATAGATGCTGAGAAAGCTTTCGACAAAGTGCAACACCCATTCATGATAAAAGCCCTTGAAATTCTTGGATACAAGGAACATACCTCAACATCATAAAGGCCATCTATGACAAGCCAACACCAGTATCATTCTCAATGGTGAAAAAGCTGAAAGCAATTCCATTAAGATCTGGAACAAGACAAGGATGTCCACTCTCACCACTGCTTTTCAAATAATACTGGAAGTCCTAGCCAGAGCAATAAGACAAGAGAAAAGACATCCAAGGAATCCAAATAGGAAAGAAGAAGAAGCAAACTATCACTATTTGCAGATGATATGATAATATACATAGAGAACCCCAAATCTCCACAGAAAAACTAATTCAACTCATCAATCATTCAGTAAAGTGGCAGGATACAAAATCAACACGCAAAAGTCAGTGGCCTTCCTATACACAAACAATAAATCTGAAGAAGAAGAAATCAAAAAAAACCACCCCTTTTATTATCAAACAAAAAAATCAAATATTTGGGAATAAATCTAACAAAAGAGGTAAAGACCTATACAAAGAACTATAAAACACTGTTAAAAGAAATAGAAGAAGACACAAAGAAATGGAAAGACATCCCCTGCTCATGGATTGGAAGAAAAACATTATTAAAATGGCCATCCTACAAAAGCAATATACAGATTCAATGCTATTCAATCAAAATCTCAATGGCATTCTTCAAAGAAATAGAACAATTATTGATGAAATTCATATGGAATCACCAAAAACCCCGAATAGCCAAAGCTCTACTGAAAAAAAAAGAAGGAAATGGAGGCATCACACTCCCAGACTTCAAACTCTACTACAAAGCCATAATCATCAAAACTGCATGGTATTGGAACAAGAACAGACATACAGACCAATGGAATCGAATAGAAAATCCAGAAATAAACCCACAGATTTATGGTCAACTAATCTTTGACAAAGGAGCAAAGACTATGCATTGGAGCAAAGAAAGTTTGTTCAATAAATGGTGCTGGGAAAACTGGTCGCTACATGCAAAAGAATGAAGCTTGACCACTACCTCACACCATACAAAAAATCAACTCAAAATGGATTAAAGAACTAGACATAAGACCTGAAACCATAAAATACATAGAAGAAATATAGGCGAAAACACTACGGGATTTGCACATCAAAGACATCTTTACAGACACATCACCCAAAGCAGTGATAGTGAAGAGAAAGATAAACAGCTGGGACTACATCAAATTAAAGAGCTTCTGCACAGCAAAAGAGACAATAACAAAAACAAAGAGAAACCCCACCAACTGGGAGAACATTTTTGCACCCAACACTAATGATAAAGGACTGATCACAAAATCTGCAAAGAGCTGATGAGACTCAGCAACAACAAAGAAAATAATCCAGTCAAAAAAATGCAGAAGAGCTAAAAAGAAACTTCTCTGAAGAGGAATGCAAATGGCCAACAGAATATGAAAAATGTTCAACATCACTTGTAATCAGGAAATGCAAATCAAAACTACCATGAGATACCATCTCACACCAGTGAGAATGGCACATATTAAAAAAACTAGCAACAACAAATGTTGGCGAGGATGTGGAGAAAAAGGACTCTTGTGCACTGTTGGTGGGAGTGCAAACTGGTCCAACCACTATGGAGAGCTGTGTGGAGATTTCTGGACCTACTAAACATAGAGCTTCCATATGATCCAGCAATTCCACTCCTAGGTATTTACCCAAAGGACACAGAAACATCAATTCCAAAGAGCACCTGCACTCCTATGTTTATAGCAGCACTGTTTACAATAGCTAAGCTTTGGAAACAACCCAAATGCCCAAAAATAGATGACTGGATCAAGAAGATGTGGTACATATATACCATGGAATATTACTCAGCATTCAAAAAAGATAAACACATGCAATTTGCAGCAACATGGATGGCACTGGAAGGGATCATGCTCAGCGAAATAAGCCAAAAGAAAAAGAAAAAATACCGGATGGTCTCACTCATAGCAGGGATCTAGAAAACTTAAATAAGGGACCAGGAAAATGAATATAAGAAAGTGAAAATCAAAATCAACAAAAAAACTATGAACCAGAGACACTTTTGGGGGTGGGGGGGCGGGAGGGAAGGATTGGGGTCAGAATGGGGCGTTTTGCAATTGTATGGGGGAATATAAAAATAAAATTTAATATTTAAAAAAAAAAAAAAGAATATATGTCATATGATATCTATCATATTAATTAAAAACATGCAAAGCAATGTATGTATTACTTCAAAATACACAGAGGTAGATAGATAGACAGACAAACAGACATAGACATAAAGTAAGAGCAAAAAAAGGACCTATGAATGATATGAACAAAATTCAAGATGGTGATTACCTTGACCAAGCCTGGGGGTCAACAGACAATGGAGATTTAACTATATAGGCAGTGTTTGTGTGTTTAAGCTGGTTGATAGTTACTATGAAGTCAGTCTCTCCAAAAGGGCCAGGTAAGCTTTTCTCAATGTGTTCCAAGTAGGCCTCTTGATATGGGGAACTAAGGTTAATGAAGGTCATGTGAACTTTAGGAGGTAGACTGTCATCATTTAATGAATACAGATTATTTTGAGTTGAAATCAGTGAGGCCCCTGAAGGCTGAGGAGAAGCACAGTCCTTGTACCTGTTCCTGTCTTCTCTAGTTGAAGAGATCATCATTCCCTGAGCTTTTGCTCTTTTCCTAACAGGAGAAGCAATCACTGTTCCCCCTTTTGTGACCCAGAACAATTACTGTGGGGTCGTCTCATCCAAGTGTAGGTTTATCAGTGAAAAGGTCCTCTTTATCTAAATATCTCATCTTTACTCTCAGAGTGAGGATCGGTCACCCTCTTCTCCTCTGACACGTGAAGTCTCATCCTCTCTCTCCCTGATGTCGCAGGTCTCTAAACACAAAATAAATATCCCAGTCCATTGCATTATTCTTTGGAATTTACAACATTATAAATTCTCCATATGTATGTTATTAAATTAAGGGTTTTCTTTGCTAACCTGTTTGATGTTATTTTGATTACTCATCTAGCTCAAGCAGAATCCAGAAGGTTGGGGCAATTTTCCTCTACTTGCCAACATTATGCAAGTATTCACTCTGTAATTTGCTATACTTTTTTAATGAAGTTCAGGAGGGGGAAGAGAAGGAACCTGAAAGTTACCTGAGCATCTGGAATATTACTGAAATAACAGCATAAGATAACAAAAGTTTTAAGTAAGATAGTGGTAAGCTTGGCATAAAAGAAGCAGTGGCAAGGAAGGAATAAAAGGCATGATTGTGCCTGATAGTGTGTGATGGGTAAGAAAGGATTTATTAAAAAAAAAAAAAAAAAAAAACAAAAAAAAAAAACCCTCTCCCAGAAAGCAGACTGCACACATCTCTTCCCACTCCCTGTTTGGTGATGCACTATTGGTAGCTTGAAATTAGTTATTGTGGGAGTGCTTACACCATGGAAATCTGAGGAAGTTACATATTCAGGCTCTTCTCTCATTTTTTGTGGTTTGTTTTGTTTTGTTTAAGAGAGTCATCTTACTAGCATACAACTGTTTATAACTCCTTTAATTAGAACTGAAGACAATAAAAGGAAAGCAATTTGTAGGTAAACCATGAAGAACAAAGTTGTTCCTTGTTTCTTAAATTTCCAGCCTAGATTCAAGGCTACAAAAATCTTTGTTCTACTAGATTAAGTGAGATCAATTGTTTTCATGCATTGAAGACTATTTTGTGAAAATATTTTATATACAGAATCACTAAGAAAATCTACTTTGGATTTTTTCTGAAATGCCTGTGATGAGGTTCTATATACTAAGTTATTGAATGTCGTACTCCTAAGAAGACAACGAATGGTAAGAAGCAGGGAAAGATTATTATTTACTAACAGAAGTGGCTCACCCTGTGTCTCCCATTATGCATCCAGACCACGTATCTTCACATTTACACTCACCTAAAAAAAAAAAAAAATGCCACATTTACACAGTGAGAACAGGTGCTTAAAGTAGTTTCCACATTAAAAATAATATCTTCCACTTTATTCCTTATACATGTACCTTTTAAAATGCTTTCTATTTTTTCTTATATTTGAATTTTTCATGTAATGCCTAACAAAAATTTCCTTGGGCCCTATCAAGATTAATATTACTATAAATATCATATTTTATTCACACTTTTAAAGCATTCATATTAAGTTACTTAAATGAAATACTATCAAATACCAATGGAACAGTGACACATCACTACAGGATCCTGGTTTCATAGACCATTATGGGAATTCTTACAATTTCTTGTCCATTTTTAAAAGGCTTTTCACAAAGCCTGCAGCAAAAGGCAGTATAGTTTATGGATGAAGCAGAAGGGCTTCAGAATCAGAAATACCTGGAATCAACCAAGGTTTGCTACTTAATATATGTTAATCTTGGGGGCATTGCCCTTTTAAGATTAAGTTACTTTATTTGTAAAATAAGGCTAATAAATGATATCTTGCAGGATTGTCCTGAGCATTAAATACTTGATTTAGATAACACTGGAATTCAATTGTATGGCATATAATGTATGACTTAAACAGCCCATTGTTGTTATTAAAATAAACATATTTATAGTATTATTTAACAAAGTAAATGTATTTATAATATTATTTGTTAAAATAATAAAATAAACATAGTTTATTAACAACTTATTCCAAATACATAGTGTTTGGCCATTCCTGGCACAATAATTTCACCTCTATAGGAAAATACATTCCTCATAGATGCTAGCCCTAGCATATTTTACTAAGCCCATTATCAGGTCTGATGCTATATCTCTCTCATACAATGAGTTATTCTAAATAAACCATAACAAAACAGTGTATCTTCTATCTATATGCCTAGGATTCTCTACTAGACCATTCAAAATTACCAAACTCAGTTTATATTTGTCCTTTTTAAGTTAAATTCAACTGAGAATTTGTCATCACATAGCTTTAAATGTTTATCACATGTGAAGAAATTTTCATATAAATATGAATGTAAACATTACTTTTGAAAAAAAAATTGGTGCCCTGGCTGTTTATACTATCACCCAACTTGTTTTGATCAAGCAACTAAATTAAAGAAAGTCATTCCTCAAAATATTTTATAGTTATTCCATTCTAAACATAACTAAACCACATATGTACATAAACTTACCACTTGCTAACTTCCTTTTGTCTGAGATAATACCAACATTATGGGCTAGTGATTGAGCAAGCGTAACTGCCATTAAATCAGTTTTCCCAAACTAAAAAACAAACAAAGTACATATGAATGAAAATTATTTTTTATTTAAGGTGGGTCAGAGAAAAATGTCATCAAATAAATGAAGATAAGAAATCTCTAAGCATTTTATTTAACAGAGATTAAATACACAGAGGTTAGCACTGAACTGTTAAACATTGGAAAGAAGTAGTAAGAAATAAACCCATGTTTGATTTAGTCTAATAGGGAAGACAGAAATGCAGGAATTATAAATTCTTAGTAACTTTTGGGATTAAAAGCTTAAATCTAATTCTGAATCCAAATGTTACCAGCAACATTCCTGAAAAACTTAACACTTACATACAATTTAACTAGCCTTTCGGCTGACACAAAATAAAAATAAAAGCATAATTTAGTTTGAACTTGTTTATCTTTGTGCATCCACTTGCACCCCTGAAATTTATCCAAACTGAAAAGAATGTGGCTTCAGAACACAAATGATATGAATCATAGGAAGTTGTGATGACCTTTCGCCAAAAGAAACTTGAGACGGCCTAGGGATTTTTTTTCCAATATGTTGCCTCCCAAAGATTCAAATATTTTTATTTTGGATCATTTCCATCAGGTTTAGTGTGTCAGGGGTAAAAGGAACCTTTTAGAAAACCTGACATATATATATATATATATATATATATATATTTTTTTTTTTTTTTTCCTCCAAGAATTTGCCAAATACTGAAAAAGGAAGATTCCAGTTGGGTTGTTAGGTAGTAAGCCAATGCTTCAGGGAAGTACCCAATCCTTTGGAAAATCAGTCTAAGTGACAAACAGGGCCTTATTTTCAATGAAGGTAAAGATTCTCTCTATATAATCTGTAAATAGTTAACTCTTGATTTCTGTAAGTAGAATATGAACAGAATCCTCCCTATTTGTCCTCTGGTAATTTCAAGTAGCTATACTGGTTGTTAATGAAATGACCTAACATCTAGAGTTTATGGAATACTGAGAAATTATCTCTGAAATATTAGAAAAACATTTTCAGCCATCATACCACTTTGTATTGTACAGATGTTCACACCTACTTCATTCACGCCTCCTCCTTTCAGCAACGAGCAAATCCCACCAATATAAGCTGCCCCGCTCCGGCTACTCTCAAATTGACTTCCCCTTTTAGAAAAGGAAATGAAAAATGCTTACTGCTCACAGTTCAAATATCAAGTACCTCTCATTATTCATTTACCACATTTGTTTTTTCAAAGCACATAACATTTCTATACTCTATGCACCTAAGGTAAGGGAGAAATGTGAAAACTGTTTACATACATAGTTACAGAAAAGGGTTTCTGAGCTATGTTTCCCCACATGATCAATAACTATCTTAAATAGAACTTTTCATATATTTTTAAAAAGTAATAATATGTACTATTACATATACAAAAATCACTTCTGTGGTGTTTCTGTCAAAAATCTATAACTTGAATCTCAAAATGAGAAAATATCACAATGAGGAACATTCTAAAAAATAATTGACTTATATTCTTCAAAAATGTTTAGCTCAATATAGACAAAGAAAGACTGAGGAAATCTTTCAGATTAAAGGAGATCAAATAGTCATGATGATTAAATGTAATGGTGACCCTGGATTAGAATCCAGGTTTGGGGAAAAAGGGGATTAGCTATAAAAAAATTGAGACAATTTTAAAAATTTGAATATGAACTATGGACTAGATAAAAGTATTGCACCAAAGTTATATTTTCTGGTTTTAATAATTTACTATGATTATATAAGAGAATGTCTTTATTTTTAGGGAATACACACTTAAGTATTTTGTATTAAAGGCCCAATAAGTAATTGTCTCCAACTTTCTCTTAAATGGTTCAGGAAAAAAAATTGATAAATAGGTGGATGAATGAAAGGAAAGAAGGAAGGAAGTAGAGGAAAAGGATAGAAAGAAGGAAATCATAAAATAAATGGGGCAAATGTAAATAACTGATGAATCTGGGTGAAGGGCATAAGGTATTTCCTTGCAATACTCTTAAAATTTTCTGTAACTTTGAAATTATGTAAAAAAAAGTTACCTCCAAAATACACTCTTTTACTTTCATATTAAATTTCTTCAACAGCAGTGACTTTCAATAATAGGTTTTTTAAACGCCATTATATATAACTTGCTAATATTGCAAATATACATAAATTACCCAAAAAAATCCTAAGAAAAAATAAAATATGAACTCCAGAAATACTAAGCTCTCTCCTTAGAACCAAAAACAAAAATAGCATTAATAACAAATAAATATAATTAATTTGTTAAGAAGTCTCTGAGTATTAAAAGCACATTTACACAGTGAGTAGACTGATTAAATCCCTTGAAAAATTAAATGAAATATATATGCAATAATAGTTCAAAATTAAACTCATGACAATTTCAAGTAACTTATACTTTAAAACTTCTTCCAAATGTATCTGCCATATCAAATCCTAATTGTATTATACAGTAGAAAGGATACATCGCAGCTGTAAGTAATAGAACATTTAACACAGAACCAGAAAAAGTAATCATTACAGAAGTTACGTACGAAAAAAGGTGAACTGCATCACTTTTCTCTTTGATAAAATCCCTCCTGTATTTCATAAACTCACGTAGGGTGATCAATGGATTTTCAGATATGGCAAACTTGTTGTCAGCCGCCCAGGTTTCCATGGCAACCAATACTATCCTTGTCTTAAGTTGGTCTTTATATATCTAGTATATTAACAAAATGAACACACCAGCTGTACACATGGTAAAATCAAATGACTTATGAACAAGACTACAAAGTTCCCTTAATGGAAACACTGAGTTCTAGCTAGATGTGAGAAACTTGACTGTTTTTAGGACAAAAATTATTTTTCTAATTTACATGCATTTCCCTTGAGTAACAGTCAAACTGTTACAAGTAATCCACAATGAACAGAACACTAGTTAGAAACAAAAATTAGTTTTTAACAAATACCTTTAACCTTATTAAAAACTCTCCCAGACTCTATTCCTTGGACCCTAGACAAGGAATTCATGCCTTCTTGAGTCTCCCAGCAAAAAATGGAACAATGAAGACTCTCCAAGGAAATAATTTCTGTGCAACATGATTGACCCTGACTAAACTCATGGAGAAGGTACTTGGTGCTACCTTGTCCAGGAATAGATTGGAAAGGAGGGAGGGTATAATTACCCCTTTGCATCATTCCCAAAGCGCCAGGAACTCTTGAAAAAGCACAACTGCTGTACTTCTCCATTGTCAGAAGTACACTGTGACTATCTTTGTTAGTGGTTATGACTCTACCTTTTCATTTTAAATGTGAAAAATACAGGAAAAAACTTCAGGCATAAATCTGTGGGTATCTTTGACCATTTCCTTTTATCATCTCCCCAGTCAGAGATCAAAGTCAATAAAGTCATCTGCAAGGTTAAGAGGGGCTTTCAGGACACCTTGGCTAAAGTGTAATTTACAGCAGTAAAAATATAAGAATCCTCATCCATTCCATTAGCAGTCAGCAGATAAAATTCCTCTATTGAAATACTAAATCAGGTTGCTACTTACCAAATCTGCCATGTTCACCACAGATTTTGCATATGTATTTGTATGTACAACTGAAAGCCGATGTTTTTTAAACTGAAAGCAAAAGACAACAGATGAAGGGCTTTCAACATCAACAGCAAATGACCATCTCACCAGAGAAAATATGGTGTAATTATATATCCATAAAAAATACAAGAATTGAAGCCTAGTTCTTTACATATTGTGTAGTCTGAGGCAAGTTTCTTAAACGTTTGAAGTCTCAGTTTGCTCATCTGTGACATGAAGCAAAAAATATCCAGTCTATATCACTAGTTTATTTTTATCACAGGATTGCTTTTCAAAATGATAAAACATGAGCTATGTCTATGAACTGCAAAAATATAAAGACAAGTAGGTTCAAAGCCAGAAAAAGTGAATGTGAACATAGCTAAAAATATAAAAATTTTCAAGTTCTGTAAGAATTTAGTAAGGTGAAAAAAGACTTGGAAGTCATAAAGAGAGATTATAGGTTAGCAATGGGTCACATATTTCCTTGGTTTGACTTGAACAGTGTTTTTAAAATCAAGAATTGTGATGTAAAGCCTGATTTCCAGCTTCAAGTAAAAGCAAAACCCTCACATAGTAATAACTGGTAAGTACTGAGAGGCAGTGCCCCATTAGAGGCATGTGCCCATTCTTTCACCACAGGCCTCACTGCTCCCTGTTGTTTCACACCTCGCTCATTTCATTTGTGTTATCTGCCTACATGTGTCTATAAACATCTAAATTTGTGACATCCTAAAATGTCTAAAGTTTATGTTCTTTTTTTTTAAAGATTTATTTATTTTTTATTTATTTTATACAAGCACTGGGTACAGTCAGCAGCGCGGGAGGGTGAGAGAATTCACCAGAGCCAGAGCGGGGAGCAGAGCAGGCAGAAGGACCAAAGCACACTGCTGAGGGGAGCAGCGGGCGGCAGGAGAGGTCTGCGCACCATGTGGGACCCTCCTCTGGTGGCCGGGGAGCAGCCGGGGATCGAACTGGCGCTGCAGAGGCTGCGGGCAGCTTCGCAACCCAGGGCTCAACCGCTGCGCCACTGGAGAGGCCCAAGTTTATGTTCTTGTGACTTATTCTTATTTTGTAAAAATCTCAGGGAACAGTAACATTCACTGTATTCAGAAAGAAGGATAAAACTTAGTCCTAGACTAAACAAGGAAGCACTTAATCTTAATTGTATCATCATCATCACTACTATCAATAATAACAAAAATCAGTATTTGTTAAATCACATGTAAATAAATGACACATTTTCTCACAAATCATTCAAAGTAAATTAAAATGCACTAATACCTGAAATTAAGTAAAATTCAGCAATGTGCACAGCAGAACATTTTTAACTTAGAATTCTGGTTACATGGAATAAAAAGCATTATAACTCACTGTTGTGTTGTGAATGTAGCCATACTGACTACAACATGGCCATGAACTGAATATACAACATTCTCATAAATTGAATATATTACATGGATTGAATATGACAAAATAATTGCCATTTTGGAAGGAAGTTTTGCCAATTCTTATTCTAAAAATCTCTACTGTTTAGCAATATAGCTTTTCCATATGGTTTATTGCATTGCAAGAAAGAAATAGAAATAATTGCTTTTATTAGAATAAAGCTATACATTTCAAATTGAAGTATCACAGTAATGGTGCCTCACTCACTTATTCAATATAAAATGGAAGCTTCCATTTTTGTTTAAATCTTGATATTTTAGTAAGAGGAGATACTAGTCCATATATTGATCAAGTAAGTTCAAAAGTTGGCATTATGAGTAAAAAATATTATTGCAACCACATAAAATACTGCTAATTTCTTCCACCTAATATGTTTTCTTTTTGCAGGTTATCTCTGAATAATAAATATATTTGGTTACACAAATACCTTCTCCATGTTATAGCTTTATGGACTTGTTTTTTTTTCCTAAACATATATTTATGCCTATTAGTGTTACCTTACCCTTGACACTGAAAAAGTTCAGCAAAACCTACCATGAGATGATCATTCACAATCATCAGTTCAATATATTTGGTTTCTTCCTCTACATTACGTGGATGTCTTCGAAGCTGCCATAGAATGAAAGAAATGTCAACTAAATAAACACTATGAACCTCACTGTAGAAAAACTAAAGAATATGCTAAATATTAGTTTCTCAGATCTTAATATTAAATGTTCTCACTGTACCCACCCACAAAATAAAGGTAAACAGTTTCTCAGATCTTAATATTAAATGTTCTGTACCAACCCACAAAATAAAGGTAAACATGTGAGGTAATGGACATGTTAATTTGATGGAGGGAATCCTTTTACAATGTATATACAAATATCAAATTATCAAATTATAACACATTAAGCACTTTATACTTTGTCAATTATACCTCAATAAATCCAAAAAGAAAAACTTTAAAATAATCTAAAAACTATGGGAGAAATAAAATTTCTTCATTTTATTCCTTTTGCAGTGGCTTAAATGTTCATTTACTTTGTTTTTGAGTAGATAATGATTTTACATGATTCAAAATTTAAACAACATTTTGGTTGTAGGAAAACTATGGTGACCACACCTGAGGTCACCCGAGAAGAGAAATCCTATGTGAAAAGATAAACAAGGATGTTTAAAAAATAAATTTAAACAATACAAAAATATAGAATGAAAATCTTCCTCCCACATGTCCCCCATCTCTCTAGTTGTTACACGACATCAAAAATAGCACATATAGTTATTGGTTTGTTTCAGAAATATTTTTATATATATATAAATGAAATATGATATATATTTTTTACTCCCATTTATTTCACTCTTTTACATCAGATTATTTTCATTTCACAGTATACCTTGGAGATTATAAGATCTGAAGCATATCCTTTATGGTTTAATTTAAGCTTCTGAGGTTCTCTGACAGTGTATAGGACCACAATGATTGGTACTTTTAGTCTATAATCTCCAAATCTGGGATTGAGACATGTCCCTACCTCTGGTAAATTTTAGGGATGCTTCAAGTGATGCAGGGATTTTGTTAAGATAGAGTTGAGAGTTTCCAGGCAGCCTTGGGTTATATAGTAAGGCTGTATCAACAACAAATTTTCTCCACTTTCAAATTCATGATCAGTGAATGCTACTGGCAACAACCACTAACACAGCCTTATTCCTTTATTCTCTGCAATGAATGTATACCACAATCTTTAAAAAGATCTACAAAGTTAACTCTTCCATTATGCCATACTTCAATACACATTTTTTTTCAGTAAATCTTTTTGATCATTTGCCCAAGGATCATTTTGTGATATAATCAAACCTAATCAGTACCCAAATATTTGTTTTGAGTGCTGCACTACAACAAACTAAAATGTTGTTACCATATGGATTTTGTTTCATTGCCAATGGCATTTACAAATCTCAAAACTTTTTTGTTTCCAAAAAGTTGGAAAACCAAGCTGATATGGAATAACACCAGGCTGATAATTCTGGGTTTGGGAATCAAGAATAACATAAACTGCCCGAGGGCAATGCCACTTTTTTTTTAAATGCATGTTTTTATTATTACAGTATCTGCTCAGTTAATTAAAGAGATCTGAGTCTTTCCACTTAATATAGTAGACTTTCTAACAAGTCTCAATATTTTCTTAATGTCAGAGAATTGTCACACTGGTCACATGATTTTTGAGCACTTCACCTGCACAGATTCAGTTTTCTCAGGGAGAAAAATTAAGACTTTTTCTACTTAGCAAATCACTGAATGTTGGAGATGTTTATGAAGAACTTCAAGGAACATGAGAAAAGAAAGTGATAGTCTCTCATCTCAAAATTTATGAAAATAAAAATATATATTATTACAATATATATATTATCACAAAATACATGATAGTAATTCATGGAACACAGAGGCTCTCAGAGGTAGTATATAAAGCATATGTGACTACAAGCACTTCACTTAGACCAGACTTTCAAAATCATAATCCTATCTGGTTCCTTCAACTATTTGATTTTCTCTCATCCTGTGAGTTTTTTTTCTCTCTCTCTCTCACACACACACACACACACACACCCACCATCATGACAAGGGTGATATTCCAATTCTGAAAAACAGAGATCTTATTTTATATAAACCATTTACTAGCTGTATGATTCAATCATCACTTTTTTCCGGTGAAAGAGGAATAATAGTATCCACTTCATGTGATTTAAAGCACTGTACATTTGCTATTATTATAATTAAGTTCAAGATCCATCCCAGATGCCAAATGTGATAATAGCATTTTGTGGCTTCAAAACCTGATGAATTCACTCTTAAGGGGATATATTTAAGAGGATAAGTTCAAGGATCTATACGAGTGAACTCTACGATGTGGTGCATACCCAGGCCAGGAAAGAGGCCTATGATAGAAAGAACCTGAGGCCACAGCAGGGGCATCCATCTATAGAATGAATAATCCATCTATAGAATGAATAACCATATTTTCACCTCTATTGTGAGCCCTTTTTTGAATCTAGGAAATAATATGTCCCATCTCCACTGCTTCTACAAATCTGTCACCCTACTGTGTCCCACACCTGACAAATGCCTGAACAATACTCACCCTATCATAGAAACTTAACGGAGGTTAAGTTGATTGGTAAGTATTTTTAAAACATCATGACATATACCTGTAAGTACATACCTGCCGTCTACTCCTTTTTGATCTTGGCTTCAAAATAAATTTTGGTGGAGTGATGTTCACATGTTGGAATTCTAAAAGGGAATAAAGATAAATTTTATTTAATTTAATGTGTTTGCTAAGTTTCTCTTATACAGGGAAACCAAAGTTTTACTAACTTTTCCTAGTATAAATTATATTATTATACTTTAATTCTTCACTATTAGCAGTGTTTATTATATTATTATTTGTAAGTTATAAATTATAAATTTATAATATAAAATGCTGCACTTAAATTCTACTTAATTATTAATCTTATAACTAATAATTATTTATAAATTATATAATTATGAATTTTATAATGTTACACTTAATAATATAAAACACTAAATTATGTAATTGTGTAAATAAACATAACACAAATGAATACAAATCAAAAAACTCACACATCATCCTTGTTCTAATTTACCTGAAAATGTTTCTCATATTTCTATAACTATAATCACATTCTTCATAAGGAATCTTCTAAATGGCAAACTTGACCTTCACTTCCACTACAGAAACTTCATTAAAGAAAACCAATATTGACAAAGATGCAGAGCAGTTAAAATACTCAAATAGTGCTGATGAGAAGATAAAGAGAAAAAAATACTTCGGACTAGTAGCATCAGCATTATTTGTTAACTTCTGTAAATGCAAATTCTCATAATTTACCCAAGATCGACTAAATCAAAAACTCTAGAAATCAATGCAGCCACTATGGAAAACGGTATGGAGGTTCCTGAAAAAATTAAAAATAGAACTACTACAATTCAGCAATTCCACTACTGGGTATACAGTCAAAGGAACTGAAATCAGGTCTGATTGCAAAGAGTTGTCTGCCTTCCCATGTACATTGCAGAAATATTCAAAACAACCAAGAAATAGAAGCAACCTAAATATACACTGATGGATGGATGGATAAAAGAAGTATGGCATATACAAGTACAATACAATATTATCCAACTTTTAAAGGAAAAGAGGGAAATACTGCTTTTTGTAGCAACATGGACAAACCTAAAGAAAACTGTTAGTGAAAGAAGACAGACATAGAAAGACAATGCTACATACCACTTATTTGAGAAATCTAAAATAGTCAAATTCATAGAAACAGAGAGTGGTATATGATGACTGTCAAAAGCTGAGGGGAAGAGGAGAGAACAAGAAGGTACTGATCAAAAGGTACCAAGTTTCAGTTATATATAATGAATAAATCCTAGGGATTGTACAGCTTAGTGTCTGTAATTAGCAGTGCTACATGCTATAGCTATAGTGCTATACTAAATTTTTTTGCTAAGAGTGTAGCTCTTATGCTAAGTGCTCTTATCATAATCATAATAAAGAGGGCAGGAGGGAAAATTTGAAGCTGATGGATATATTTAAAGCACAGATTATGGTGATGATTTCATGGTGTATATTTATGTCCCAACTCATGAAGCTATATATATTAAATACATACAGATTTTTGCATGTTGATCATACCTCAATAAAGTGGTTTAGTGAGTTGATTCTGAAACTTCAGAACACTGTTGTATATATACAGAAGAATGAAATTCAGTCCCTAAAGAGGGAAGTAAAAGAAATGCAGGAGATCAAAGAATTAATGGAGGTGCTAAAGAACTCTGGGAAAAGCAATGAAAGAAGAATAGATGAAATGGAAGAATGAATAAGTACTCTTGAAGACACAGAAATAAAAAGAACTAAAACAGAAAAGGAAGGAGAAGTACGAAGGAAAAAGACCGAAGAAAGAATTCGGGAACTATCTGACTCCATGAGGAAAGGAAATATAAGAGTTATAGGAATCACAGAAGGAGAGGAGAGAGATGCAGGAACAGAGAAAATGTTCAAGGAAATAATTGAAGAGAACTTCCCAAACGTGAAGAAGGAGCTGAAAATTGATATACAAGAAGCAAGAAGAACACCAAACTTCCATGACGAAAGGAAAAATACAGCAAGACACATAATAGTAAAGCTCCCAAGAATCCAAGACAAGGAAAAAATAATGAAGCTGACAAGAGGGAAGAAACAGATAACATTCAAAGGAAAACCAATCAGACTGACACCAGACTTCTCCGAAGAAACACTACGGGCAAGGAGAGAGTAGAGGGACATAGTCAACAGACTCCAAGAAAACAGATGCCAACCAAGAATACTCTATCCCGCAAAGCTCTCCTTCCTCTATGAAGAAAGAATAAGGAACTTCCCAGACAAACAGAAACTCTGGAATTTCATTATGACTAAACCCCCACTCCAAAAAATACTATAAGGACTCCTAAAGCCAGAACCGCAGAGGGACAAATAACAACAAAAGAAGGCCAAAAAAAAAAAAAAGTTATTAAAATAATAAATAAAGAAAATCAAAGGAAAGACAAACACAATAGCAAATACAAATGCTAACATATCAATACTAACTCTAAATGTAAATGGACTAAACTCTTCAATAAAAAGACACAGAGTTGCAGCCTGGATTAAGAAACAAAACCCAACCTTTTGCTGTCTCCAGGAAACATATTTAGCTGCAAAAGATAAAAATAGACTCAAAGTTAAAGGATGGAAAACAATCCTACAAGCAAATGGACCAAAAAAGAAGGTAGGAACAGCTATACTCATATCAGATAAAACAGATTTCAAACTCAAAAAGATAAAAAGAGACCCCAACAGTCACTACATAATGATCAAGGGGACAATACTTCAAGAAGAAATAACACTCATTAACATACATTCACCAAACGAAGGAGCACCAAAATATATCAGACAACTATTGTCATCTCTGAAAACAGACATCAGAGAAAACACATACGTAGTGGGAGACTTCAACACACCACTATCAACAATGGATAGATCAACGAGACAAAAAATAAGTAATGACACTAGCTCTAAATAAGGATCTAGAGAGCTTGGGCTTAACAGAAATCTATAGAACAATACACCCCAAAAAATCTGAGTACACATTTTTCTCAAGTGCACACAGATCATTTTCCAGGATTGATCACATACTGGGGGCACAAGACAAACATCAACAGATACACCAAGATTGAAATTATACCAGCCATCTTTTCTGACCATGAAGGCATCAAACTAGAAATAAACCATAAAAAGAAGGCAAGGTACTCTCCTACCTCGTGGAGATTGAAACCCACACTACTGGAAGTCCACTGGACTAACAAGGAGATCAAAGAAGAAATTAAAAAATTCTTTGAATTGAATGACAAGGAGGACACCAATATCCTAAATGTATGGGATGCAGCAAAAGCAGTAATAAGAGGAAAATATATAGCAATAGAAGCTCACATCAAGAAACAAGAAAGAACTCAAAGAAACAACCTAATCGCAAAGCTCAAAGATCTAGAAAAAGAACAACAAAAAAAAACCCAAAACCAGTAGAAGAAAAGAAATAATAAAAACCAAAGCAGAAATAAATGAAATTGAAACTAAAAAAAAAAATCCAAAAGATCAATGAAACCAAGAGCTGGTTCTTCAAAAAAATCAATAAAATAGACAAACCCCTAGCCAGGCTCACAAAGGAAAAAAGGGAGAAAGCACAAATAAACAGGATCAGAAATGAAAGAGGAGAAATCACAACGGACACAGCAGAAATCAAAAGAATAATCAGTAACTACTATGAACAGTTATATGGAAACAAGTTCAACAATCTAGAGGAGATGGACAAATTCCTACAACTAACAATCACCAAAAGCTAGATAAAGAAGAAATAGAACACCTAAACAGACCAATTACAAGTAGCGAAATTGAAATGGTAATCAAAAACCTCCCCAAAAATAAAAGCCCAGGACCTGATGGATTTACAAATGAATTCTACCAAACATTCAGAGACAAATTAGTGCCTATCTTTCACAAACTCTTCCAAAAAATTGAGAAGGAAGGGATAATACCAAACACGTTCTATGAAGCCAACATTACACTAATACCAAAACCAAACAAGGACAACACAAAAAAGGAAAACTACAGGCCAATCTCCCTAATGAACACTGATGCAAAAATCCTCAATAAAATTTTAGCTCTCAGAATCCAACAATGTATCCATAAGATAATTCACCACGACCAAGTAGGATTCATTCCAGGGACACAAGGATGGTTCAACATCCAAAAATCAATCAACATTATCCAACACATCAACAAAAAGAAATATAAAAACCATATGATAATATCAATAGATGCTGAGAAAGCTTTCGACAAAGTGCAACACCCATTCATGATAAAAGCCCTTGAAATTCTTGGGATACAAGGAACATACCTCAACATCATAAAGGCCATATGTGACAAGCCAACAGCCAGTATCATTCTCAATGGTGAAAAGCTGAAAGCATTTCCATTAAGATCTAAACAAGACACTCTCACCACTGCTTTTCAATATAATACTGGAAGTCCTAGCCAGAGCAATAAGACAAGAGAAAGACATACAAGGAATCCAAATAGGAAAAGAAGAAGTCAAACTATCACTATTTGCAGATGATATGATAATCTACATACAGAACCCCCAAAAAATCCATAGAAAAACTAATTAAACTCATCAATCAGTTCAGCAAAGTGGCAGGATACAAAATCAACATGCAAAAGTCAGTAGCTTTCCTATACACAAACAATAAATATGAAGAAGAAGAAATGAAAAAAAAATCCCTTTTATTATTGAAACAAAAAAAATCAAATACTTGGGAATAAATCTAACAAAAGAGGTAAAGGACCTATACAAAGAAAACTACAAAACACTGTTAAAAGAAATAGGAGAAGATACAAAGAAATGAAAAGACATCCTCTGTTCATGGATTGGAAGAATAAACATTATTAAAATGGCCATCCTACCAAAAGCAATATACAGATTCAATGCTATTCCAATCAAAATTTCAATGTTATTCTTCAAAGAAATAGAACAATTATTGATGAAATTCATATGGAATCACCAAAAACCCCGAATAGCCAAAGCTCTCCTGAAAAAAAAAAGAAGGGAATGGAGGTATCACACTCCCAGAGTTCAAACTATACTACAAAGCCATAATCATCAAAACTGCATGGTATTGGAACAAGAACAGACACACAGACCAATGGAATCGAATAGAAAATCCAGAAATAAACCCACAGATTTATGGTCAACTAATCCTTGACAAAGGAGCAAAGAATATGCATTGGAGCAAAGAAAGTTTGTTCAATAAATGGTGCTGGGAAAACTGGGTCGCTACATGCAAAAGAATGAAGCTTGACTACTACCTCACACCATACACAAAAATTAACTCAAAATGGATTAAAGAACTAGACATAAGACCTGAAACCATAAAATACATAGAAGGAAATATAGGCGAAACACTACGGGATTTGCACATCAAAGACATCTTTACAGACACATCACCCAAAGCAGTGATAGTGAAGGCAAAGATCAACAGCTGGGACTACATCAAATTAAAGAGCTTCTGCACAGCAAAAGAGACAATAATAAAAACTAAGAGAAACCCCACCAATTGGGAGAACCTTTTCGCACACAACACTAATGATAAAGGACTGATCACAAAAATCTGCAAAGAGCTGATGAGACTCAACAACAACAAAGAAAATAATCCAGTCAAAAAATGGGCAGAAGAGCTAAAAAGAAACTTCTCTGAAGAGAAAATACAAATGGCCAACAGGCATGTGAAAAAATGTTCAACATCAGTTGTAATCAGGGAAATGCAAATCAAAACTACCATGAGATACCATCTAACACCAGTGAGAATGGCACATATTAAAAAAACTAGCAACAACAAATGTTGGCAAAGTTGTGGAGAAAAAGGAACTCTCCTGCACTGTTGGTGAGAGTGCAAACTGGTCCAACCACTATGGAGAGCTGTGTGGAGATTTCTTGACCTACTGAACATAGAGCTTCCATATGATCCAGCCATTCCATTCCTAGGTATTTACCCAAAGGACACAGAGACATCAATTCCAAAGAGCACCTGCACCCCTACGTTTATAGCAGCACTGTTTACAATAGCTAAGCTTTGGAAACAACCCAAATGCCCAAAAATAGATGACTGGATCAAGAAGATGTGGTACATATACACCATGGAATATTACTCAGCATTCAAAAAAGATAAACACATGCAATTTGCAGCAACATGGATGGCGCTGGAAGGGATCATGCTCAGTGAAATAAGCCAGAAAGAAAAAGAAAAATACCGGATGGTCTCACTCATAGCAGGAATCTAGAAAACTTAAATAAGGGACCAGGAAAATGAATAACTATAAGAAAGTGAAAATCATAATCAACAAACAACTATGAACCAGAGACACTCTATGAGGAGTGGGGTGCGGAGAGGGGAGGGATTGTGGTAAAAATAAGGGGGTTGCAATTGTATGGGGAATATAAAAATAAAATTAAAAAAGATAAATAAAATACCTAGTTTCAAAAAAAAAAAAAAAGAATATAGGACATTAATATTACCTACTGAGAAAAACCTCTAATCATTGAACAGTTAGAATACTCTTGAATTTTTACTTGAGTAACACTCTTTTCCATTTAGGTGTGCCTCACTGCTTTCTTTAGAGATAAGAAGTGCTGTACAATATTCTTATAAGAGCTACTGTTATCCCTTCCTATGTCAATGGTTTGTTTTACCCAAGAAGTAATTGTGAATTCTTTGTGGAGAAATGCTGAAATCTGTGATTACATTTTTAAAAGACAGATAAAAAGAACTATTAAGCAGTGTGCCGAGAGCTGTTAGCATGCTTTTAGTTTTAGCAATCCCAAATCTAACTAAATATGTATTATTTTATGAAAAGATTATACAGAAGATATGACAATATTTATATGGAATATATTTTCACATTTGGAAATGGAAAAATGCACAAAAACTCATTATAGCAGCAGCAGATTCTACCAGTCTCCAAAATAGCGATAAAGAATATATTTATACACATATTCTAAAATATTGTAATAGTATGTTTCAACTAGAGACTGGGTAATTGTAAAGAATTTAGAAACTCTTTAAAGCCTAGGAGTCCTTTTATGCCTAGTGTCACCAAGATGCCAATAACATGGTCGACATGATGACAATATGACAAAAGAAAGTTTCACCATTATCTCCTTAGAGCTTTCTTGTGTTGAAATTTAAATGGACAATAACTTAAACCTAAACATATCTTGCATGATTTATTATTCTTGTACCCTTTACTTTGCTGACAAGCTACAGCTAAGATAGTTATAGAGGAATGAAATGATTCATGTTAACAAGTTGCATCTTTTCAAAAAAAAAAATAAATGGGCCTATAGACATGCTGGAAAAGAAAATATTAATTTCACAAAGAGCAAAGAATAATACAAAGTGTTACTCTCTAATAGTTCTTTCTTAGAAAAAGCTATGCTGAAACAAAACTAAAGATAAGAACAAAGGGGAAAATGATTAAGAGGTCATGCCTATGTTTATAAAACCAGTATTTTACCAAGAGCGAATTTTTATATATTTCATCTGTGCAAATCAGGTTTTACCCAAAGATTTTTCCTAAAGTACCTTTTTAAAATGTTATAATTAAAAGATGTTTTTCTTCAATGTGCTCAATCTGTCTCTTTCCAAACTCATCCACTATAAACAATAGGTCAGTTTGCATTTTATTAGCCCTCTTCATGTCACCTGATTTTATCCCTAAAAATGTTATGAGCAGTCATAGGCTAATGATACTCTATATATATTAGTTCTAAAGCATTAAAATTAATTATTAAGTTGTCTTTTTAAAAAATCACTCTATGAATACCATACCAGATGGAAGATCATCCAAGGGAAATTCAAACAGTCTGGATTTGTATACTGAATGAAAACGGAAATCCTCCTGAAATAACACAAACAGAAGAGATTAAGCACATACAACCAGACATCTCCAATCTCAGACAGTCACAGGTAGGGAAGCTGAGACCCTTACAATGAGTCTGTATTTCCTGGGTTTAGAAAAGCTTTGAGCCATTCACAACCCCTCCCATTCACACCTGTGTTCTCCCAGCATCTGAGTGGTATCCTATTAGAAGCAAAAATACCTTCATGGACAGAGAAGTCAAAGCTGTGTAATGGAAAACAAATGAATGGATCTAATCCCCCAAGGAGAAATGAGACATCTGGGAAAATGTGTTAATGCTCTTTATGACTGTTTCTTTTTCACAAATCTCTACCCCTCTTTTAGAGCCAAATTGCTTTGCCAGGCAAAGACTGCAGAACTCACAATTTTCCTGGTATTGGAGAGCAGAATGACTGATTTAAACAGATGCCCAAAGAGGACCCTGCTACAAATTTTTTTTTAAAAGATTTATTTATTTATTTATGCAAGCACTGGGTACAGTCAAAAGTGCGGGAGGGTGAGAGAATTCACCAGAGCCAGAGTGGGGAACAGAACAGGCAGACTGACAAAATACACTGCTGAGGGGAGCAGCAAGCGCGGCAGGAGATGTCTGCACGCCATGTGGGACCCTCGCCAGCGGCCGGAGATCGAACCGGCACTGCAGAGGCCAGGGGCAGCTTTGCAGCCCAGCGCTCAACTGCTGCGCCACCAGGGAGGCCCCAAATTTTAATAGTAGTAGAAAATTCTGTGAAAACACAGATGAAAAGCTACGTTTTGTTTAAGAAAGATAATGAATATTCAAATAACATCTTCAACTGGCTTCATTCAATCACCAAAAAAAATGATGTCATAAAGTCAAATTTTGTGATGTAACCTTCAAAAACATCACAGAATCAAGCAAAGTGACAGGATAATCAGCAGTAGGCATCCAGGAAATAAAACACAATATAGAATGTTTCCCAAACAAGATCATCTATGGGTAGCAAAACAATATGTAACACCTGAAATTATCTCCCTCCCTAAATGTTTGACAACGTTCATGATGCAATGAAGAATACTTGAGCATACAGAGCTAAAAAATAAGTATATTCTTCCATTGGAACAGAAGTTTTTCTCCATAATCTATATATTAATTCAATCCTTTTCTACTTTTTGGAAAACAACTGTTTCAACTAAAGTGAGTGAAAGAATTAGGAAAATCTTGATTTCTTTCATCTTCATCAGCACAAGGCCTTAAAAACAATGAACAATAGAGAAAAATTTGGAAGCTAAAAAAACCCGGAGAGACAGAAGATCACATGTGTAGTTTTGATCTGTTATGAATTGACTGTGTCCCTTTTGGAGATGGGCCTGTGAGGAGTTGATAAATGTTAAAACACATCATAATGGTGGGGTTTAATCCCAAAGGAAGAGAGACATCAGTGTTTGCTCAAGAGCAGACAGTCTGCAACCCAAGGAGAGAGACCTCAACTAATACAGTAATACTGCCTGCATCTTGATACTGGACTTCCAGTCACCAGAACTGTGAGTAAATAAAACTTTTATTCTTCAAGCCTCCCAGTATCTCCTAATGGCAGTCTGAGCAGACTAAAACACCTCATAGCACATTATGGTGAAGATAGCAATAGAAGTTTCACAAGATCACAGAAGGAAAGTATCTCTAACATAACGGAGGAGTAAGAGACAGATTTTTTGGAAACACATGTGGTTTGATTTACCCAATTTGCCAATACACACACACACACACACTCTTATATTTGTATATATGTATATAAGCAGATGCTTATATGTATACATATATTAACATATATGTATATATTTTAATACACTAACCCTGAAAATATGATAATAAAATAGAGGAGAAAAAGTTCCCAGCATCGATTTTTACATTTGCCACAGCAAACAGAAGGAGCACTTACTTGGGAGGTATCATTTTCTTCTGGCTCAATAAGATAGGTGTGGTTTCCATCATAGAACATCCCACTGTGAAGGACAAGAAAACAATTAGGCATGACCATCAACTCTTGCCTTAGAACAGGATCATTTAAAACTCAGCAGCGGGCCTCCCTGGTGGCACAAGGAGTTAAGACGCAACCTATGAAGCTGTTCGCAGCCTCTGCAGCACGAGTCTGATCCCCCAGCCAGCCAGGGAGCAACCCACATGGCACGGCAGACCTCTCCTGACTTGCCCACTGCTCCCCTCAGCAGTGTACTTTGGTCAATCTACCTGTTCTGTTCCCCACTCTATCTCTGGTGAATACTTTCATCCCCCACACCTCTGGCCTGTGCCCCAGATCTTGTATGCATAAATAAATTTTTAAAAAATAAAAATCAGCAACAGCCAGAGGGCAAGTTTACTTCTCAATACACATGTCCAGTTACCACCAGATACATAGCACATGATGACACCACACACATATACACACAACATGCTACTGAAAGGAAAAGGCCCCTATTGATTTTGCATAAGCAATAGAATCCCCTCATCCTCCTTCCAACATATAATTCTAAGACTTTACTATGTAAATCGTTACTGGAAAGCTTATAAAAATGCAAAACATGGGCCTCCCCTGCTGGTACAGCGGTTGAGTGCTGGGCTGCGAAGCTGCCCGCAGCCTCTGAAATGCCAGTTCGATCCCGGCTGCTCCCCGGCCACCGGAGGAGGGTCCCCACATGGCGCGCAGACCTCTCCTGCCGCCCGCTGCTCCCCTCAGCAGTGTACTTCGGTCCTTCTGCCTGCTCTGCTCCCCGCTCTGGCTCTGGTGAATTCTCTCACCCTCCTGCGCTTCTGACTGTACCCAGTGCTTGTATAAATAAATAAATAAATCTTAAAAAAATTGCAAAACATTCAGGGCCCTCCTCAAGTTTCTTGGCTGCGGCCCAGAAAGCTACATGTGAAAACAAATCCCAGGTATTTCTGAGACAGGTTATCAGAGACTATGCTGAGAACTTCCAACCCACCATAAATCTGGAATAAGTTCTAATAACAAAAGTTGACACATGTCAACAACCTACCCCAAGCTAAATAATTTACATTCATTTCAGCATTTCTAAATCTAGGAAGGTAAAATGGCTATCCTTATTTTACAAGTAAGGAAACTAAAACTGACAGATGAATTAACTTGCCCAAATTACATAACCAGCAAGAATAGAGGCAGGAACTGAGCCCAGCTCCTGAGCTGCCTATCTGCAATCAGCTACGCACCTTCACTCATTCAAAAGGCTAGGTGTTGGGGACACAGTGGGAACAAAACGCTAACCAATCTTCTGCCCTCACAGTGCTGAGGTATATTCTAGGACATATAATAATATAGAATAAACAAATTATATACTATATGGTGATAAACTCTAGAGAGAAAAATAAAGCATGTAAAGGGCAATAAATGATGCCAGAGAATCAGATGTGGAGACCAAACCAGAGGGTCAGAGTGAGGCTTCACAGCAAAGGTGATATTTAAGCAAATATCTGAAAGAAGTGAACAAATGAGTCACAACAGTATTATGCAAAGGTATCTCAGATGTGAGCTCCCAGGTGAGAGAATGGTGGAGTGTTCCAGGACTATCAAGAATGCATGGTGTCTGGAATAGTACGTGAAAGGAGGAGAGTATCCTGAAATGAGGTCAGGAATAGTGGTGCATTTTATGTAGATCTGCCTGAGGAATTTGGCTTTTACTCTGAGAGAGATGAGGAACTAGAAGATTCCAAGCAGAGGATAAACAATCTCTCTTAAATTTTAAAAGAATTGCTCCAGTTGCTAGATAACATTAAACTTCAGGATCATAAAGGCAGGAATAGGAATGTTTTTGCCATAATCCAGATGAAAGAAAAAGATAGCTTAAATCAGGCTGGTGATGGTGGAGGTGGTAATAATAGGTTAAATTCTAAATATTTTCCCAAAGCAGAACCAGTAAGATTTGTTAATAGATTTGAAAGGTAATATGCAAGAAAGAGTCAGTGAGAACTCTTATTTTTTACCCGAGTAACTGGAAAGATGGCTCTGTCATTTAATAAAGGAAAAAGTTTCAGGAAAAACAGAATAGTATAGCACAAGCAGGGTGCAAATAAAGAGTCTGTTTTGACCGCTTGGGGCTAGAGATGACTATCAGTCAACTGAGAAATCCTCTGGAGGCCATTTGAAGCTACATATGGCCTCGGTACCCACTCAAGAGATCCTGGTAGCCACTCCTTTCAGGGGAGTATGTTCCTTCTACTCAGATCAGCTTCCTTATGGTGCTGAACAAATCTATCTTATCATTCAGGCATCTGCTAGGGTGGGGGGGAGTGAAACTGTGATTTTTTGTAGTCATTTTTCAGTGTTGGCTTTCATTGATGGCTTAGTGAAATCATTTGGTTTCTCTGAAGTATAATATAATGGCCTCCAGCTTTGCCTCTATACAAATTCCTTCATTCCTTTTGTAAAATCTTCCATATTTCCACAACTTGTGTATTCTCTTCCAACTGCTATCCACACATGTGAAGGTCTTCAACTAAAAGTGCACTTTTTGAACATGGGTGACATTGCATTTGGAGCTAAAAGATAAAAAGATATAGTTTGTAAGATATTACTAATAATAAATGTCTAAGGGATCAGCGGGAAGAGCTTTTTTAAAACAGTAGACTAAATGGGCAATGAACATATTTCTTTGTACCCCCACTGATAAATGGTGAGATGTATGCAGAAAATTATACAAACCATCACCATTTGCCATCTCCTATAGCCACATGACTATGCAGATTATGTAGCAAGCATATAATTTTGTTTGAATAGTACTGAGTGTCATTTCCCCTTGCATTAGGTCAGTGTGCAATGTGAAAATCAGTTACTTTGAGTGTATATAAACAACATGATACACAGTGTAAACAAAGCAGCTTTTGGTGCCATTTATCTCTAGAAGACTCTGGTTCCTGATATGAAAAGATGTCATTATTGCTTCTTTAACAATTAAAAAGTATATGTGTTGCATTTGCTTTCTGTCATATTTATATATAAATTATACTAAGTATATAGACTCCATAACTCACTATATTCTTAATAAAAAACCTGCAGCTAGGACTAAGACACTACAGGTCAATCACGTTAACATAAAAGGCTATAACAAAACAAGATGTTGAAAGGAAACAACCCTTCTTACAAATTGCCACAAGAGGGCAATACATATACATATGAGTCCATTCTTTAAGGTTTCCGTAGTTACAGGTTTCGTCATAATATCAAACATACCAGAACCAAAATATTGCCCATTAGTGCTCTGATATGGAAAACTGTTATTGCAGGTGCTTTATCAAAAAGACAGAAGTGTCTTGAGTATTTTTCCCTTTTAAATTCTTTAACTGAATTGAGTAAATAAAAATTTTAAAATCCCAATATGTATTTGGTACTATATAAAAGATGAGTCATAGATGAAATAATATATCTCATATCTAAATAACTATAACTGAAATGATACAAATTATTTCATCTTAGTAATATCCCCCAAAATATTTCATTCAGCGGTTTTTGTTCAGTAGGTAAAATGAAGATGAGAATAACAAGTAAAATGAAGGAACAAGAGAAAATGTATTCAACATGCTCATAAAAGTTTGAGGACACCCAGACATGCTTGCCTGCAACCCCAAGAGTGTTTCTAGACACATGGTTGGTTTTCTACTTGTATCTACTTGTTTACTTTAAAATGAAAAGATTTCTAAAGACAGATGTAAATTTTACTTTGAACAACTGAAGCAGGTTCTGAGTCCTACTCCTGATCCAGTCATTAAAGCGCTCTTAATTTTTCATCCTCCTTCAAATGTCTATGTAGAACTAGTAGGAAACTATTGCTTAGGTTCTCAGGTCTATTGAAGTTCTGAGAAGACAGTAATAATACCTTCTCTCATTCGTACAGTACTGTGTCCCTTTAGAAAGTGGGAGGCAATTAGGAGCAAAATGCTTCCATTGTGCTTTGGGATTGAAATTTTAAGAGGAAGAGAAAGGAGGAAAGCCTCATTTCTTATATCATTCTCCACAATATACATTTGCTGTTACAAATGTCAAAAGGCCCAATGTACTATTCCTAGCTGAAAAGCTGTGCTCATCTTGTAATGAGATGAAACACTTTTACTGCTGAAGGGGACTTCAACATTTCTTTGTCCAGATGTGAAAACTAAGGCACTCAGATGTTAAGCATGGATTCTATGTTTGTAAAACCATCTCTTTATTCTAAGAATTTATTTAAAATAAATAAAATAGTCCTATAAAGCAAACAATAAGGAAATAGAAGTCTTCCAGGACCTCAGGAGTATGGCCACTTTCTCTGGCTATTGAACTAAAACCTCACTTTTTCTCCTTTATGCTTCTCTCACAGACTTAATGTCAGAGTCTGACCAGAGGCATCACTTAGGAAGATGACTAGGTTTTCCAATTTTTTCTATAGGATCTCTTTTCTAGCTTTCTTTAAGGTCTGTCAATTTAGCTCACTCTCCTGGAAAACTCTACAAAAGCCTGTTTCAGGATCCAGTCTACCTTCTCTAGGTGATGTTTCTCTGGAGCAACTACAACCTCATTCATCAGTGCCCACTCTCAGCTTGTATTTCCCTCATTTTTTCCTATCTCAAGAAAACAAATATACCCAACACATTCCATAGTAGGAAGTTGGGCTACATTTAGCCCCTCACTATACTGTGAGTTCTTCAGGGCAAGAGTCATCTTCTAATCATCTTACTATTCCACAGGCTGGCATACAGCAGGCATTCAATAACTGTAGATGAAAAAGTCACATCTACAATTTGGTAACAGACAAGATTTATTTTTTAATTGAAAAAGTCATATAGAAGTTTAATATTAACATGTATATTTCCTATACATGTTAAAAGAAAAAGGATTTTAAAGTTCCCCCACCCAAATTTAACAAAACTAAAGTGGTGACTTGTTCTGTGCAAAAAACAAACAAACAAACAAACGAACAACAATAACAAAAAAACCCACAACAAATAAGAAGGAACTGAAAGGATATAACCTAAATAGCGTGCCAAGAATTTATACAGTAGCTTTAAAAAGGGTTATAAAACAAATAAAGATGGCACCTGTGTATCACCATTACCAACAGGATGGAGGAAGTAGACCTAGTCCCAGGTGACATACCAGCAAACATTCTTTGATAATGAAGTTTATGAGAAAGGATGCAAGGCCCCAAGGAAAGATGAATTCTAATACTCAGAGATTGCTAAGAAGACACTTCCACAAGTTTGTGTAAGTTAGGTCTGGTGTGATTCTGGCTGAAAAAGGGTGACTAAAACATGTGAGTTCTTGAAGTCACTTACAGCATTTTGTCATTATGCAAGAAGTCAAGGGTTTCTATCTACTGAAATTTCTATTATCCCACAAAAATATAAAAACATCAAGGAGAAGTAAGGATAGATCTACAACCCAGGGGTTAAAATGCACAGAAATAGAGACCAAACTTGCCCAAACTTCTCCTGTCTCAACTAAAATGAAACTAGAAAAAAGCTTCAAACATTGCTATAGGATATCACATCATAATTCCAAAGTCTGTGTTTACTGCAACTCTAATTTTAAAATCTGCTTGGTTTATAAACAAGACAAAAAGATGAGATACTTCATTGAATTTAACTTATTTATTAACCTAAAATAGGATTTTCTTTAAAAAGCATTAAAAATAAAGAAAATAAGAGACTAAAAGAATAAACATTACAAAAATTTTTGGGACACTTACTGAAGTCCATGGCATGTAGACAGTGCCACAAATGACGCAGAATTTCCTCGGATATGGCCCTGGTAGTAACAGTGTTCTCCTCCCTGAAAAATAGAGAACATAAGCCTTTGCTCAGGGTAAACGCATTTCATTTTTCTATTCACACTGCACCTCATGTGTAAAAGTCTGTGCAATATTTAATTATTCAAATTAGTATTATTAAACCATTTCTAACAGAATTATTCATAAACTCCCCTAGTGAGTTGACTCCAAATCAAAAGACAGGGAAATAAAAGTTGGCTTAACTTTTCTTTTAAGTAGGCAATGTTTGAAGGAGCAAAGAAAGAAATATTGAAGTATACACATGGTTTTTGCACCAGGATATATTTAATTAACTGTTTCCCCAGTCAAGAGAAACTCAACCTTGAGAGGCAGTAAGATGGTGCTCTTTCAGTTAAAGTGAAGCGAAAAAGAATAGAAATCATTTGAGAGTCATTAAACTGATGTTGGAAAATGCCAATTTTTTTATAAATATCAAAACTTAACAAGTTTATATTATTCTTTTCTCCAATCTGGAATGGCCTTATTGGTAAGCCATCTAGGATAAAAGTTTGAAATTGAGAACTTTCTTCTAGTAATCAGTAACATTAATTAAATTCCACTGAAAGACTCATTCTTTGAATTAAATTTCCTGAAGAACACAATAAGGGAAATATTCTGCCATCACTGGGTGTTGTTTCAGTCATTACATACTTGTCACTCAGAGTGTGGTCCAGAGCAGCACTGACATCACAGGGAGCTTGTCAGAAAGCTCAGATCCCACCCCAGACATGCTGTATCAGAACAGCCATTTTATCAAGGTCCCTAGGTGATTAATATGCACATTAAAGTTTGAGAAGCATTGTTCTAAATGACCCTTCCATTCCCCCACTAATCTCTTTCTTCAGATGCTGAAAGCTTCTAACTGAATTGATCCTTTGAGATATGAGTGATATAGGACGGACTGATAGAATGGGCAGGTTAAAGAAGCAACTGTTCCCTATCTCACAGTCTGGCTTAATGAACTAAAATTACATAAAATTTTCAGTGTTTGACAAGTGGAGAGGAGAGAAAAGGAAGACATGATAACATAACTAATGTAATGAGCTTAAATATATTTCTTAGCTGGAATTCCAAGAAAGGCAGCCTGACCTGAGGTGACTATTGCTCATAAAAATAATCTCACCAGATTTGGAGGCTCTCATATTTTATCAGCACCTAGATAGTAGGATGGTGGGTACACAGTGCAATCTCTGACTCTGTGGTACCTTCAAATTTCCAAGGGAGTCATTAAGCATCATGAACTGAGGATTATAGTTGGATTTGATGGAAGACAAGACAAGGTTGTACTTCATATTAGGGTCTAACAGGGGTTGGGACTAAGAACTCCACAGACTTTGGGGCAGAAACAAACCCAAACCTAAGAGAGTAAGACACTGACTGACTTCATGGGTAAAGTTCTACAGAGTAGATATTAGAAGAGTAAGCCATCAGATTCTTCACTTACACTTGCTTGAGCTGTAATCTCAAGCAAGTTACTAAAACCTGCCAATGTCATCTACACATTTCATAGTATAGTTCAGATTATTAAATTATCTAATATCTGAAAAAGTCTTAGCACTTGCTTGACACTTAGTAAACAGTGTCTGCTACTACCACAATTATTCTGTCAATTATTGTTTTACTCAATTTATATACACAATCACCTCAAATCATCACATCAATCCTACAAAGTACAGCATACTTAAATGCTGTTTCTATTCTTGACTGTCATGACCTCTAAGAGTCAATATTGTCCAACTGGGAAGCAGCCAAATAGTTTTGCAAACTTGGTGTGAATACCAAGACTTGTGGTCTTTTTCCTGCACTAATGAGCTGGACCAAGAATCTGTAGGTTGTGTAATACAAATCTAATCTTTCTCTTAGCTGATTTTTGTTATTGTTTGTATTTTTATTAGTGCCGGAGGTAAATTTAATAGAATTTTGAATGTCATCTGGCAAACTGTCCATAAGATTAGAGTCAAAGTACATGAGAGGTCATTGTATTTCAAATGACCTTAATTTCCTGGACACAGCTGCCTGGACCAGAAACCACACTCTAACTTTCAATTGGCCAGACACAGAAGACCAACAGCCTATGAAGTGACCTGGAAAGAGAATTCTATTTAAGGTTTTCCCTTGATAGTGACTAAATATTCAATCAGATCTCTTAAGAGTTCTAAGACTTACAGTGAAATGTAGATATAAAGGTAGCAGAAACAAAGAAGATAATCAAAACAGTTATGGCATTACACTAGGGAGCACTGGACATTGACAAATAATTGTCTAAGGGGAAAAATGTCAGAAGTAAAGGCATAAAAGACTTTTATATATTACTAATTTTATTTTTCATAATTCTACTAATTTTGTAAATTACTAACATTTTCTCTAAAATACCACCTCTGGAAACATGTAATGGTAAGTCATAAAAAGAATAAGGAATTCATTTTAAAACAATTCACTGCATCGAGGAGAAATAGATGATTAGATAATGGAAAACAATCTTTCACTAGTTTCAGAATCTAAAAAATCGAACTAATTCCAAAAACAGCATGATCAGGACCCACTGCACAAAAGCCTAATGCTACAAATGAAATGAGAGCTCAGTATGGCTGAATCATTATCAAATGTTTCCATGACATTTAAGGAGAAGCATAAACACCAGGAGGGGGAAACTTCTTCAATTTGGGCTATTAAAATTTAAATTTTGGGGCCTCCCAGTGGCACAGAGGTTGAGCGCTGGGTTGCAAAGCTGCCCGCAGCCTTTGCAGTGCCGATTCAATCCTCAGCTGCTCCCAGCCAGCGGAGGAGGGTCCCACATGGTGCGCAGACCTCTCCTGCCGCCCACTGCTCCCCTCAGCAGTGTACCTCAGTCCTTCTGCCTGTTCTGCAACCCGCTCTGGCGCTGATGAATTCTCTCACCCTCCCCGCGCTTCTGACTGTACCCAGTGCTTGTGTAAATAAATAAATAAATAAATCTTTAAAAAAAAAAAATCTTTCTTTAAAAAAAATAAATAAATAAATTTAAAAAAAATCTAAATTTTGAGTTTCCCCACTGGTAGCATATGTAATTCTTATAAATAATGATGGAAGTTGATTTTTGTGTTGTGACTTTTGTCAGGGATTATTGTAAATCAATAATTATTTAAACTAGGAACTAGATTTTTTCCTTAAAAAGCCTAGAAATATTTCTTAGTCCAGAATAAAGGCATAACAAAGGGCTTCTTTAACTTATATAAATCTATTAACACATCATTTCAGTAAATAAAATAAATGCAATGGATTTTTTAAAATAATCGTTTATATCCATTATTTTTAAGATAATATTTATGGCAAAAATTCTAAGAGTTCAGAAGGTACATGATGAAGAGTAAAAATATCTTCTTCATACACTTAGGATATGATTGCCTTCTAAAAGGCAAGCAATTTTCACATATTTTGTGTACAATGTCAGGGATCAGTGCACAAATGAGTTTACATTGGTCTGTCACTTTTTTTTCCCCCTTTAAGGTGATTATGACCTCTTTCTATATCAATATCTGAGTCTTTCAGTGATGGCATAATATTCTGTTATGGAGGTGAACCATAACTCACTTAAACAGTCAAGTACTAATGGACAGTTAGGTTATTACCAGTGGTTTCTTTCTGCTGTCATAAACAATATTGCAACAAACACCCTTTCATATATTTTTGTGCACTTCTGTCAGTATATATTTGTATCTAGTGGGCCAAACAATATTAACAATAAACAATATTTTAAATTTTAATAAATATTTTAAAGGATAGTGTAAAGGCAGGACACTGAGCAGGTTTTTGGATCCAGCAGACCGGGTAAGGAGAAGAGTCCTGGAGAGTCCTTGGTGGCTTTTGCAGGGTTTTATTGGGATTTACCAGGCACACGGCAGGCAGGGGTGCCGGGGGGCCAGGAGGCTGGCAGGCCTCCCAGCCCCCAGCAAGTCTTTACTCTATCTGGGCTCTCAGGCTTCTCTCGTGTTCTCTCTGCTTCTCTCTCTCAGTTCTGCTTCACTTCTCTGCTTCTTCCCTGGTGTCCCCGTGACACCGCCCTTAAAAAGCCCAGTTTTAGTCCAGGTGAATCCCATCTACATATGCTCACACCCTATTCCAGGTGCCCGACATCAGGCATGCATTCAGGACCACAAGGTTCCATCATCTATCCTGATGGCGGGAGGCAGAAAAGCCTGATACTTTTACGGTACCCTACAGATAGCTATCACTGCATTTCTTTATACTTATATCTGTTTTAAATGGTTTATTGCATTTTAAATTAATAAAGTGTATTTTATTAAAAAGTATATATTTCAATAGACTACTAATCAAGCCAATTTTCTAAAATCTTATTAATTACAAAAGTTCTCCATATCTTCATATGATTTTCTTGAAGAAACAGATGCTTCACAGAAGTAGGTATTTTATGTAATAATCTAATACAGATGTAGGAAAGAGAGAGTCAGTACATCCTCGTAGAGTTCGGCTCTTAATCCTACTGCCAGTCGCAGCTTTATTCTTACTGTCTCTTTTGTTCCAGAAATAAATCCATTGTCCTTGAAACTTTCTTCATGCTCCTTGATTTAAGAACATAATAATGCATTTATAACAGTACAGATGTTTATTTTTAGCTAATTAGATAGTCGTTGCTAAAAAAGAAACATTACCCACTTCTATAAAAATGAACTTATATGATAGTTCACGTGTCTATTGGTTTATCTTCCCAGTGGGGAAATAAAAGGTTACTGCAATTTTTATTCTAGATTCAGTAACAAAGGAAATTTTTATTACATGGCCAGAAAGAGCTCAAGGGAAAAGTAGAATTTATTATAAATATGATGAGATAACACAATTCAAGTTATACTGCATGGATTATATAATTATGAGCACTCAATAACCAACTGGAGCACAGCAGCAAGGCCATGGTCATCTGCCCCCTATTCTGACCCTCAGAAGAAACAACAACTTTATCAGCTCCAAGACGGGCAAAGAAAACACCTTTCAAAGCTTTTTGATTCCC